AGTTATTGCTCCTTTCTTCCCACAGGTAAGTGGACTAAATTGTGTTGTTTTAGAGGTTGATGGTACAAAATTTGGATGTCTGTTAATAAGCTCACATTACTAAAGTCATTTCTGTATTATAATTATTTTAACCATGACCTGCTCATTTGTGACAATGGTAATTGTAATTAATTTATCAGCATTTGAAAGTTTATTTACCCTGACAAAATTAGCCTTTTAATGCCTTTCCAGTTTTGGAAGGGTTATTGTTCATTGTCCCAATATTTTTTAAGATGATCCTTCTTCAGTATTAATCAGGTTAAGATAAAAATAACTGAAGTGTACTTTGTTGCAATAGAATGAACAATTTGTCTGTCAAGATGAACCCTGTCTTTTTTATGATTTTAAAGCATGGTTTTTATACGACTGCAAAACATTTTGGGGTCGTATAATGCTATCATGTCGTCGTCGTCCGAAGACATTTGGTTTCCAGACAATAACTTAAGTTTAAGTGTATGGATCTCTTTGAAATTTAACCAAAAGGAAGGTTGGGACTGTTTTTGGGGTGATGGTCCCAACCGTTTAGGAATAAGGGGCCAAAAAGGGGCCCAAAACAAGCATTTTTCTAGTATTAGGACAATAATTGTGTATAAGTATTTTGATTGCTCGGAAATTGTACCACAAGGTCCAATACCACAAGTCGAAAGTTGGGATTGATATTGGGGGTAATTGCCCAAACCATTCAGGAATTAGGGGCCAAAAAGGGTCTAAAACAAGCATTTTTATACGCCCGTTTACAGGACGTATTATGGTATACCTCTGTCTGTCCGTCCGTCTGTCCGTCGCCAACATGTCGGACATTAACTCAAAAATGCTTAAACCAATTTGCATGAAACTTTGGTGAATTGTTTATATCTATTGACGTGAGCTCCCTTTCGTTTTTTATAAAATTTAGATTTTACGTTTCCGAGTTATGGGGTTTTATTCATTAAAAAAAGGGGGATTTTCCAGTTTTCAGACAATAAGTCAAGAATGCTTTCACCAACTTGCAAGAAATTGTGGTGAATTGTTTATATCTATTGACATGAGCTCCCTATCGATTTTTATAAATTTTAGATTTTACGTTTCCTAGTTACAGGGTTTTATTCATAAAAAAAGGGGGGATTTTCCAGTTTTCGGACAAAAAATCAAAAATGCTTTCAGCAATTCTTATGAAATTTTGGTGAATTGTTTGTGCGTATTGATGTAAGCTCCCTTTAGAATTTTATAAATTTTACATTTTACATTTCTGAGTTATGGGGTTTTATTCATTAAAAAAAGGGGTGATTTTCCAGTTTTCGGACAATAACTCAAAAATGCTGTCACCAATTCTCATTGAAACTTTGGTGAATTGTTTATATCTATTGATGTAAGCTCCCTTTTTATTTTCATAAATTTCTAATATGATATTGAGAATTAATTGAACTTTGTTTATAGTCTGACAACAGATTTACTAAGTATTGCACAACAGCAAGAAATCTTTAATTGAATATAAATTCAATTCATATAACCAATTTCAAGTTCTTTGACTACATTTATTCAGAAACCTGTAATATGTCAAATATTTAATTACAATCCAAATTCAGACCTGAATCAAGCTTGAATATTGTGTCCATTTTTGCCCCAACTGTTCAGGGTTGGACCTCTGCGGGCGTATCTAGCTGCGCTCAGCGAAGCAGTTTATTCTAGTTTTCAGACAATAACTCGTGTTTAAGTGTATTGATGTCTCTTAAACTGTACGTCATTTTACAAAAAGAATGTCAAATGTTATTTTTGGGGGAAAAGAGGGGGGGGGGGAAGGTTAAAAAAAAATTTAGGGGGGTAAAAAAAAAAATTTTTTTGGAGAGGGACAATTTTTTATCCTCAAGACTTAAGAAAATAAAAAGAAAATTTCTTCAAATATTTTTTTTTGGAAAAGGGGGGGGGGGGGGGGTCAATTTAATTCTTTGTATATCAAATCATATAACCAATTTTAAGTTCTTTGACTACATTTATTCTGTGTCAGAAACCTATAATGTGTCAGATATTTAATTACAATCCAAATTCAGACCTGCATCAAGCTTGAATATTGTGTCCATTTTTGCCCTTACTGTTCAGGGTTGGACCTCTGCCGTCTTTCCAGCTGCGCTCACCGAAGCAGTTTATTTTATATTGTTTATGTATATTGATTTTGAATTTTGTTGAAAAATACAATATTACAAGTATTTATTCTTTTTCAGAAACGTGAAGAAGGTTGGTGGGTTGTTATTGGAGACAGCAAAAATAATTCTCTGTTATCTATCAAACGTTTGACATTACAACAGAAAGCCAAAATTAAGTTGGACTTTGTGGCACCCTCTCCTGGACATTATAACTATGTTATATACTATATGAGTGATGCCTACATGGGATGTGATCAGGAGTACAAATTCAGCATAGATGTCAAAGAGGGAGAAAGTGATGAGAGTGATAGTGACAGTGATTAAACTGAACAAAAATAAGACAACTTTTACGAATTTGGAGTGTGTCCTCCATGTTGGACACAAATGTCTAGGTCAACAGTGAAATTTAGACAAACTGATAAACCTGTAAATAATTGATAAGATTATCCTTTCAATGTCATTGACAGATGAATACCATTCTTAATCATGTTTATCTACTTCAAAAATTTCTAATATATAATGACAATGTGTGACCTTTAACATGTGTATCATCTTGATTATATTTATATAACTTGTCACATGGCCAAGATATGTAAATAATTTCACTGTGTGTATTGATCTGATTGTTGACAAATGTATTCAGATAATTTATTACACTTTTAATGACAATTGGTAAATATTGGGAATATGTCCAGATGTACGTATAACAGATTTATCTGTTGATTAAAAAATTGGGTTATTGAAAATTTAATACAATTATCTGTAAAGTCCATTGTAATTTTTTTTTTATTTTACACATGAAAATAAATTTGAAGTGTGTATATCATTTTTCATTCAAGATAATTGACTTTAAAATTTGTTTAGTGAGTAAAGTGAGAATAATGAAATATCACAAACATAGAAATTTCATCCAGTTAAATTATGTCTTTATAAGTAACATCTGGTCTATGTCTTTTGTTGAAATCATGAAAATGAAAGTACATTATTGTTTATGGTTGTTCTTTGGTTAGTAGTTATGTTAAGATGGTTTGTTATAAACATTTTTAAAATAATGAAAATCAATTGTCTCATGCAAGTATAATGATGAATTACATTTGGGGGGGGGGGGGGGGTCTGGTTGCAGTAGATAAATCAGTGAAATGTTAAGTACAGGTATAAAGTTCAATATCTTTTGACATTAAATTGTTTTTCAGTTGGTCACTAGGACTGGAATTTTCATTCAGCTGCATCTTATATTCATGTGCTGTATTGTTGCTTTATGTACATTGTAATAAATAATGAAAATCTGTTATAATGTGTTTGTTGTTTATGAAGTTTGATTCATCATTAACTCCATGTATATCTTACAGTTTATAATTCATCATTAACTCCATGTATATCTTACAGTTTATAAGTTGTAATAGGTTTTGATGTAAACTTAAAAATAGCTGTTTGGACTGACATTGGACTGAGTTTAAAATTACAATTGAAAATTCATTAACATACATAAAGATCAACAAAATATGATTGTTTTCTTGGCCACTCTGTCTCACTTTAAGATTCAACGAGTTCATATTGTCTCTAGTTAGAATGAACACGATTCTATTTTCCTTAATTATAATGAACAAGATTCTATTGTCCTGAATTATAATGAACAAGATTCTATTGTCTATAATTAGAATGAAAACATTTCTATTGCCTGTATATAATTGGGATCACCTGTCTATGGTTTGCTTACTATTGGAAAAATAAATGTACTTCAAGATTCGCATGAAGGGATCCCTTTAAGGATAAAAATCTAGGAAAATTTTTAGTTTGTCCTTGTGGTTAACTGTTTATGAATATATCAGAAGTTGGAAGAACCAATGTTCTAAACATCCATGTAAAAGTTTCAAACAAAACTACAGAAGAAAGATTCTTTTAAATATATACATGTTGGAACAAGAAAAAATTGTTGTGTGCTTTGGAAATTATCTACAAATACTAAGAAAGATGTATAATTTATCGTCTAGAATTGAACTTTCAACATCTAAAAACTTATATAGATGATGATACATGGATTTTTAACATCCAGTGGCAAATTTAGAGCATATTGAGGACAAGAACATGTTAATGCAATGTGAATTTGAAACTTATGTACTAAAACCACGTTATAACGATATACTGAGCAATGTTTTTTTCATGATAGTGCAACAGGTAATAGTCTGCAGGAAGACATGTTATACTACTCTGACACATTTTCAGACTCCCAACCAACCAGTCTGTGCTCTTTTTCCTTAATTCTGCATGCTACATGTAAGTAGAGAAACAGCAAATACTAATTTATCATTCTGGTTTTGACCCAGCAGGCAATTGATCACACACAACCTCCTGCACTCTTAGGCGAGCATGCTACCATGAGACCATTGAGGTAGTAAGAACACTTGTGATGCATGTTACTGAGTTTTACTGTGTGTATTGCTGTGTGTTTGTTTATTCTACATTGGCTAGAGGTATAGGGGGAGGGTTGAGATCTCACAAAACATGTTTAACCCCACCACATTTTTGCGCTTGTCCCAAGTCAGGAGCCTCTAGCCTTTGTAAGTCTTGTATGTTTTTTAATTTTAGTTCATTTATATGTTTTGGAGTTTAGTGTGACATCCATTTTCAATGAATAGTACACATTTTTGTTTAGGGGCCAGCTGAAGCCTGCCTCCAGGTGCGGGATTTTCTCGCTGTGTTGAAGACCCATTGGTGGCCTTCAGCTGTTTTCTGCTCTTTGGTCGGGTTGTTGTCTCTTTGACACTTTCCCCATTTCCATTCTCAATTTTTTTTCTTCAGAATAAGATGACAACAATATCAATTTCAATTCAATAAAATACGTTTGAAATTTCTATTGTTTTATTCATTGAAAAATTATAAACTTTAACAAAATATCAAAACATGCAACACTGATTATCAAACAAACAAACAAACAACCATATAAATAAAAGAGACTAATCCAGTAAGTTTCATTTCATAAAGATAACCAGCAAAACTGCAAGGTCAATTTAAGTCAACAGAGTGGAAAGTCATTTCTAAAAATTCATAAAATTCATAAAATATACAACCCAAAGTATGTATGTACAGCTGAATTTCTCTCAGGAAATATAATCAGAGGTATATATAGTAATTTTGCTACAGTATATTTTAAATTTTTTTAGATTTGTGTTTGTGAATAATAGAATCATTTAATGTCAAGATGGACATCCCTATTGAAACATAACTTCTTCATAACCATTTAATACATGAAATAAGTCTGAAAATAGAATCATAACAAAGATGAAATAAAAACAAAGCAAAAACAAACATTGAATACAATGTATATGATAAATATATCAACATGTATAGATATATATGAAATTGACTTCAAAAAGGTATTTGCATTTTTTGGCTGGCAATTTTAATCAAGAGTGAAACAAAATTATATTTATATATATATGTTATTTGACCTGCTATGGATTTCAATGTTCCTATTACATGTAAATGACCTTACAGCTACCCGTACACAAGAGGATTAATTGTTAAAAATACAAAATGGTTTAAGCAGCTCTATCAACACCTACTGTAACACATAAAATGCTAAACCTGAACTGCTTGTAATAGACATTTAAGGAAATACACTACTAGCCTGATTTATGAAAATGTCTGTGGACAAGTTTGCATTATACACTGTCATGACTGTTATTAGTCTGGTTGACATTTAACTACCGGTAATATATCTTCTTTAAACCATTTAAAATTATAACAATGTGTAATCGCAACTAGTCCATCAACAAAAGGTTTTAAAATTGTCATGCATGTATAATATTCTAATTCATTTTATTATGTGTTATTATAGACATTTAGACATTTAGACATAACTTGAATACTGACCTTAAAAGTAAATAAAATTTTACATAATGCCATGGTAAACAATTTCAAAACATTGATAAAAAGGAAGATAAAAGCAACTCTTAATACAAAATTTAACATTATAATATAATTCTGTAAATAAATAATTGTTGATCATTGAATCCCTACAAAATGACTAATGGGTGGGGCATTCACCATTAGTTCATTGTATTGTTCTATGAACATCCACATTCTGTTCATGTAAGTATCTTCATAGTATGAAAGACCATTTTCTTTGATGAATTTAGAAACCAGTGGCTTGATCTTTAGGCACATGTTGTCCGATAACTTTGGAAAGAGGTGGTGTTCTATGTGGCAACTTACTATTGCATGTCCAAATGTATAATCTAAGACTGGATTCCGTGGAAGGTTGAGTACACCAGTGGACATCTGATAAATCCTCTTTGGACGACTTTTGGGCGAGTACATTGCTAATCCAATGTGCTGGAAAATGTTGACATGTATATAAGGTATAGCTAGAATTGCCCTGTAAGTAAGTGTGCACAAAACTGCTCCCCAGAATGTGAATCCAGATATATTCATTAAAAGATACAAGTTAATTGCAAGTCCGAGAGGCATCAGTATTAGATATTTCAGTAGACTTTTCCATTTTCCCCATATGTCTCTTAGTACAATAGGTATAGTCACAACAGGTAAAAACAAAGGTCCTACAAACATATATAAGTAGCTTGGTAAAAATGGTGCTTTCCATGTGCTAGAATCTCCTAATCCAATGATGTTAGTGTGTGGATGGTGAACCTTAATGTGGATATCATATCCAAGATCCCCAGAAAATGAGCCACACACATCAGAAACGAAATAGACAAGAAATGTGCCTAGAGCTTTGCTACTGCAAAGTGCACCGTGCTGAACTAAATGTGCAGTTTTAATTGCTATAGTTGAATGGCAGCATCCAAGAACAAACACTCCTAAAGCAACGGTTTGTATATTGCTAGATTTCATTAAGAAAAGAGCAACAAACACAAGTCCAAAACTCAGGAATAGAATCATCCAGTCCACTCCATGCCGGTCCCACCAACTGCTGCTTTCTACAAGCCGGGTTACTTGTTGGTTTAACTCAGCAAAATTAGGAAGTTCTTTTAACGATACATAATCATAAACATTTTTCTCGTCTTTTTCTTCGATTACTTTGACTTCCTTACTAGCTTTGGGTCTACTTTTAGACATTATGTAGCAATGGCATGGACTCTCCTTGACAGTTGTAATAAATTAAGGTACAGCTGATACATCAATTAATTTTTAGTCATGTGATGACGGTTGATAACAACAGACATATAACCTATCACCGAAAAATGAACTAATGTAAACCGCTATAGAACGGACGTTCGAGAAATTTAACTTGATTCGTATCTTTGATTTAAACCTTTTGATATAATTATTCAAATAATATCATGTGTCATGTCTCTATTTGGATCATTCTAGTCTTATAACATGTATCAGAGACATATAATACAACACAAGGGTTTCAAATTGGAAATAGAATATGTTTAATGTTTAATATCTTTCAGTTTATAGCAAATACATACTACATTATATTATGATATAGTATTTTGGATGCTTTACTTTCTGTATCTAAGTTTTATCTTCTTTTATCTTCGGGTTGTAGCATACATTTGCTGTTCATATGTTTGGATTTTGATCAGTATGTTAATGACGATTTGCATCCCGCAGTATATGAAGGAAGAACACAACATTTGCTAACGCATATTGCAGATCTAACATTATTGGGATAAATTTCAGACGTATTTATAAAGTATGGTGTTGGCCTTGTAAACCATATAGGTTATCCGATGTAGACCGTCTGTCGTAAAGTTGTCATATATTTAGACGTATATAATAAAATTGATATTGATGTGAATGCATGGTATGTAAAACTTCGTAAAATATCATCCATTACGACAGACGAAAGACAGCTAATCTGCAATGTATACAATCTACCTGCCACTAAACATCATGCACTGTGTTATAATCCTACATAATGTCGAAATGAAACGCATCACTCGACTAACGAAAGCTATATTTTTATAAAGCCTAATTGGTGGAGTGGTCTAGGAAGCTCGGCACAGTGCAGGTGATGTTGCTACTATGTAACAGAAGCAGAAGCTCGAATCCCGCAGGGGTCTCGATGGCCGAATGCTCTAATCACTACTATATCACTAGCTCGTCAACACTTAGGTTGTGAGTTTTAAGTCCTAGATAACAATATGTTATCAAATAGAGAAAGTCTGTCGTAATGTTGTCACATATTTAGACGTTGATATATATATGTTACGGACAATTTATAAATTTAGGCCGTATTTTGTAAAAATTCTAAATTTTCATGCAATTTATAAAATGCCTAATCTTGACAGGCATTATATAAAACAGGAACATAGATATACTGTTCCCAGTATAAAATGACAAAAACACCCAGGCAGTAATGCTGTAAAATGACTGACATTATCAAAATCAATATCAACAAATTGTCCGTTCGGAGGCAAGTAATTTGTGGAAAAATTATATAATTGAGATAATGATGGAACGACATGTTGCCTTTAAACACTCTCCTTTCATGAAGCATTAGATTTAATGTCCTTATTCAAAAAGGATGCGAATTTCTACATGCGCAAACGGATTCCTTTCTCTGTTGGATTGACGAAGTCCCTATTTCCATACCCAAGTCAATCTTTAGGATCGAAAATCTTTTGTACAAAATTTCACATGCATTAACAGATCACCATATAAGACCGAGTTTGTTTTTTATCCAAATAAATTTTGTATTTGATTATCTTCATATTCACTGCATCAGGAGATTCGTTGCTCTTTTCAATCTGGTGAAGATCTGCTTCAGCCTCTTGAATGCTCTGATATGCAAATGATGTGAGTCAACCTCATCATGCTAGTGTTACTTTAAATATTTGGGAACACAGGAAATAGTATACACTGGCTATAAAGACAATAGCAAGTTTATTGTCCACGGAGCAAAGGCGATAATAAACTTGCTATTGTCCTGAATAGCTAGTAAATAAGTGCTTAATTCAACAGAAATTATACGAGAAAATGTTTGCTTCCACTAAATAGTTTTTGAAACTATTTACCGGTAAATTGTCTTTTAGGGGAAAATGCTTGCTTTTAGTGAATAGTTCTTACTCAGTAAATAGTTTTTGAAGCTATTAACCGGTAAATATATATATATATATATATATATATATATATATATATATATATAAATTTTAGATATTTCGGATAACTAATATCCTTCATCAGTAAGATGTAAAATGAATCTTATCTTGACATGTGGTAGTCAAACTGAAATAAAAATCTTGAATGCTATACAAATTATCAATAATCAATACGCATGGATTTTTTTTTATCAATATTGATGTTTGGGAGGAGGAATAAATTTCTTAAAACTGTAAGAGTCCAAAACGGAAGCCTGAGTTACTGGAAACAAGTGGTGGTAGGGAAAATGAGTGACACATTCTATGTTTTTTCATTTATGCCCTCTTGGGAAACTGTCCTAAGCTTTCGTATCCAAAACCTTTCCGGAGCAAGTCTGTCGGCCCTTGACCAACCCTCGTTGTGGTCTATGATAGTGATGGTAAGATTTTTGAGATCAGCTTGGGCGTGCCCAGGTGATCTCAAATGACGACTTACGGGGAGGTCGGGCTTGCAGGTGTAGTCACTTCGATGAGCATTCATGCGTTTGTTGAATGGCTGTTCTGTCTCGCCAACATACTGCATGCCACATCGACACTGAAGAAGGTATATATATACAACATTCTAGGTTTTGCAAGTTACATTGCAAAATAAAGTGTACACAGATCCGGTGGAGTGGTAAGTAAATGTTTAAGTATTCAGTATTTGTTGGCAAGTCAGACATCGTCTGTTACCACACGACTTGCACCATCCTGAATTTGAACAGCTTTTATTAGAGGAGACATCAGCTCTCACAAATAAGTCTTTCAGACTTGCTGGTCTCCGAAAAGCTAAGACAGGAGGTTTGGGAAAGATCTTGGATAATTTAGGGTGCTTGGCAATAGTTTGCCAATTGGTATGGATCAAATGTGAAAGGTTAGTAAAGGCGGGATTGTATGTTAAAACAAATGGATCTATTTTGCTGCGCCTCTTCTGTTTATATTGTAATAGGTCATTGCGGCTATTATCTGAGTAAAGCGGATTTGCTCCTCTGAGGAGGCTGTCACTAAACGGTTACAGGAACTTCGCGGATTTTTTACCAAACGAGGTTATAAGAAACGAGACATAGATAAGAGATTTGCACGTGCTAACAATAATAGCCGCAATGACCTATTACAATACAACATACTGCTTCTGTTTGTATTGTAATAGGTCATTGCGGCTATTATCTGAGTAAAGCGGATTTGCTCCTCTGAGGAGGCTGTCAGTTACAGGAACTTCGCGGATTTTTGACCAAACGAGGTTATAAGAAACCGGACATTATCATAGATAAGGGATTTGCACGTTCTAACAATAATAAATTTTTTGGTCTTTTGAAAAATGCTGTTTGTGCTGTATTTAGACTCCTTTACCAAGAATAAAATTGAGAATGGAAATGGGGAATGTGTCAAAGAGACAACAACCCGACCATAGAACAGACAACAGCAGAAGGTCACCAACAGGTCTTCAATGCAGCGAGAAATTCCCGCACCCGGAGGCGTCCTTCAGCTGGCCCCTAAACAAATATATATACTAGTTCAGTGATAATGAACGCCATACTAAACTCCAAATTGTACACAAGAAACTAAAATTAAAAATAATACAAGACTAACAAAGGCTAGAGGCTCCTGACTTGGGACGGCGCAAAAATGCGGCGGGGTTAAACATGTTTATGAGATCTCAACCCTCCCCCTATACCTCTAGCCAATGTAGAAAAGTAAACGCATAACAATACGCACATTAAAATTCAGTTCAAGAGAAGTCCGAGTCTGATGTCAGAAGATGTTACCAAAGAAAATAAACAAAATGACAATAATACATAAATAACAACAGACTACTAGCAGTTAACATGCCAGCTCCAGACTTCAATTAAACTGATTGAAAGATTATGTCTTCATCATATGAATATCAGGCACAATCCTTCCCGTTAGGGGTTTAGTATCATACCATCATAACATATATGAGAAGAACATAACCCGTGTCATGCCAACAACTGGTTTTTAAATAAATGTGTTTAGTGCCGATGCAAAGACCCTATAAGTGAATCAATATTAACGCCAAAATATGCAATCTTTAATGACCTGACAACAGTATCGTAACTATATCCCTTCTTAATAAGTCTATTTAAAGGTTTTGTTAGCTTCAGAGGTGAATACTGACATTTTTGTGCTTTATAAAGAATATTTCCATAAAAAATTGGATGTGAAATACCTGAACGTATAAGAAGTCTGCATGTTGAGCTATATTTACGAATGATGTCCTTATACCGATGATAAAATTTAGTAAATGTTTTGACTAGTTTGTGATATCGAAAACCCTGGTGTAATAATTTTTCAGGAATACATAAATTTATCTCGTTAAAATCTAAAACATTGTTACATACACGAGCGAATCGTACAAGTTGAGATATATAAACACCGTAAGATGGTGACAAGGGAACGTCACCATCTAAAAATGGATAATTAACGATAGGAAATGAAAAATCATCTCTTTTATCATATATTTTAGTATTAAGCTTTCCATTGATGATATAGATATCAAGATCGAGGAAAGGGCAGTGGTCATTGTTAGTATTAGCTTTATTTAAAGTAAGTTCAACAGGATAAATTTCTTTAGTATACATACTGAAGTCGTCATTATTGAGAGCCAAAATATCATCCAAATATCTAAAAGTATTATTAAACTGGTGTATCAGATCTTGTTTCGATGGGTCTTTGCTGATTTTTGTCATAAATTGTAACTCATAGCAATACAAAAAAGGTCCGCAATAAGTGGTGCACAGTTAGTCCCCATTGGAATTCCGATAACCTGACGATATACGGAATCTCCAAAGCGAACAAAAATGTTATCTAGTAAAAATTCAAGGGCATATATAGTATCAAAGCATGTCCAATTGACATAGTTTTTTTGTTTATTGCTACTAAAAAATGACCTAAAAGAGTTGCATGCACACGTATAAAAAAGCGGTTTTTATCCGTGGCAACGCAATCATAGGTTTGAACGTTGTTTTCAATTTAGACTTGTTTATATTTTTTCGTTTGGGCTTGTATTATATTTGCCTTCAGGTTTATATGATCCGTTTATCCTATTTCGACTCT